GACACTCCGCAGGAGCCCGCGCCAGAGGTGCCCACTGAGGACTGCCCCGCAGAGCCCGGCCCGGCTGCCTGGCACCCGGCACCCGACGGGGAGCACAGCCCCCAGGAGCCTCCGGCCCCCCTGAGCCCTGCCGCACCCTGCCCGGAGCCAGGGACCTCCCCAGAGAGCGGGTCCCCCTCTCCCATGTCAGCTGGGTCCCCTCCCTCCTCCTTCAGCTCCTCGGATGAGGAGCTGGAGGAAGAGCTGCTGGGGGTCATGCCTGGGCGGGCGCCCGCCAGTGCCACCTGTGGTGCTCTGGACTGGTCTGTCTTCGACAAGGACCACGACCTCTTCCCGCGGGGAGGCTCCTCGCACTTCGAGTTCCCGGACTATTGCACGCCCGAGGTGACGGAGATGATAGCGGGGGACTGGCTCATGTCCAGCATCTCGGACTTGGTCTTTACCTACTGAGTCCCGCACTCTGCAGGTAATGCTTGTTTTTATTTTCACCCACAATCAGGTCAGAGAAAAAAAAAAAAAACAACCCAGGAAAAAAAAAAAAAAGAACAAAAAACAAACAAACCGAAACCAGCTGTTTACATGCAGGAATCAGGTATTTTGCCTTGAAGCTGCTGGAAGGCAGAGACCTTGCTCCCCCCACCCCCCGGCACACACCCACTCCTCATCCGTCCGTCCGTCTGTCCGGCCCTCGCCTTGCGCCAGTGGGACGTGTGGCCGCCCACCATGGTTATTTGCCTGTGAAATGCGTCTCATGGGGCTTTCATTGTCACACCTGGCCACTTCCCCCCATGACCCCAGTGCTGCCGGCCATGGCTGCTCCCGGCCGCTCCCATCTCTGCCAGCACCCTGTGTCCTCCCACTCTCCAGGCAGCCGGAGCATCCATGCCACCCTGGCTCTTGGTGCCCATCCAACTTTCCCCATCCCTCGGGGAATGGCCGATTCCATTTGCTTTTTGACTGCATTTAACGCATGACTTCAATTTTTCTCCTCTTCCTTGTTGCAGCCCTTGGGGAGGGATGCCGAGCCATGCAAAGCTCTCCCTTCCCAATGCTCTGTTTCATGGGGGATCCCTGGCTTTTGGGGGTTCGGTGTCCCACAGCACCGTCTCCTTCCCCGTGGCGTGCGCTCCCCGCCGCTTGCTTTGGGAAGAGTGAAGTTGCACGCACGTGACGCGCACGTGGGCGCGGGAGGCTGTGTTGTTCCTCTCGCCAGGCAGTTGTGCAGGGGAGGCTGTGCCATGGGGGGAGCCCGTGCCCGGGGCCAACCCAAAACCTGGTGGGGATGAGCCCTTTCCAAAGGAGCCAGCCCTCATTTTTAGCCTTGGAGCCGGTGCCCCTGTAGGACCTGCTCTGGGCTGGCTCACCTTGGTTGGTGGAGAAGGGTCCCACCATGCCCGGCTGTGGTGGGTGGTGCTGCTGGGATGGCAAGGAGCAGCAGGGAAGGGCAGGGTGGCAGGAAAGGGCAGCTGTAGGGAAATCTGCCTTAAGCAACCACCCAAACGGGGCCAAGACCAGCAGCAGCCGGTATCAGTGGGCGTGTGGGGTGTGGGCGATGCTCTGGCACAGGGCTCCTCCACACAGCACCACGCTGAGCCCCGCTGCTGGCTGAGATGAGAGCAAGGACATGCCGGCAGGGAAGGCGCTGCTGCAGCAGCTCCTCCAGCTGATTTCTTTGCTTTCCTAATGCTCCATCTGCGACGCCGACAGCGCTCTCCCACATGCCAGAGCACGTGCTGCAGTGCGGCTCGCGGCTGCGCAGGCTGTGCGTTGGGGAGCGGCTGTGCTCGGGTACAGTTGTGTGGGACGTGGCCTGTGTAGGCGGCTACAGCAGGTGCTGAGGGCTGTACTGGGATTACAAGCAGCAAACGCTGCTTGAGCAGCCCGTTGCATCCCCCACGGCCCGATTTCCCAGGAGCTTGGAGTGTGTAGGAGCCCCTCAGACCCCTCCTGGGCAGTGGGGTGCTGAGGGCAGCAGAACACCTGCTCTCTGGGGGCTCTGCCTCCCTGATTTGGGGCTGCTGGTTCTCCCCGTCACAGGTCACCCCGTGCCTGCCTGTTGCCGTCAGGCCGGATTGAGCTGTGACCAGGTGAAGGACATCCCCCTCCCAGGCCCTGGCATCCCCTCAGGCTGCCTTGGAGTCAGGGACCTGCCTGGCCCCACTGCTGGAGGTGCTGGTGGCCCTGGCTCAGCCATTGGGATAGGCACTGCAGCACAGGGAGAGGCGTGTCCCTGGGCCCTTCAGCT